GCGACACAGCGCCGCGCAGCCGGGCCGCCAAGGAAGTAGAGAAGTTGGCTTTCCGATAGGGCAAGGGGACCAAGGGCAAGGGCAGGGCGAAGCGTCAGAAGAAATGAGGGCTTCGGCGAGGCCCAGTAGCTCGTATCAGACGGTGTTGACAAATTTGTTGACTCGCTCATCTCGAGGGGGCGGCACGTAACGCTTGCGGTGGCTTTGTGGGCTCCGCGCGTGGCCGACGGCCCTGCTATTGCACAAGTGGTTTATCCTTTGGCAGTTCACCACGGCCCACCCGCAAGGTGGTCCAGGGGACTCGACCAGCGCTTGCAGCTGTATCCCCCCGACTTTCAGTGTCAGGCAAGTTGCAGGCCGTGGACTCAGCAGACAGGGCCGCCGGTTTCTTGAATAGGACGGTCGCGTGTGCCCAAGTGTATCCTATGAGTCCTTGTGAATGAGGCCCCCACCTGTTCCCCCCTTCTCCTGCCCTCGCGCCCGCCGCGCCTCTCCTGTTCCTTGGCCTCCTCTTCGCGTTGGACGGCGCGGCCTCCCCGGCCCCTCCGTGCCGCCACAGCGCGGCGTGATCCACGCTGCGCGCTGGTCGGTACGGTCAGAGCTGGCGCCACCTGTGGGACTGCTCCTTCCGTCCGTTTTCTAGTTTGGTGCCTGCGTTCCCCGATTACGGGTCGCCTGCGTCATAATGAGGGTCATTTTGTCCCTGGCACGTGCACCCGCTGCCGCGGCCTACGGGCCCCAGCAGCTAATTATCTCGCCGCGTGCCCCAGCCGAGACCGTCCCGCTTTTTGGAGCTGCCATTGGAGCCGCCAATCAAAAAAAGTGTGGCCGACGGCCCGCCTGGGCCCAGAGGGGCTCGGGGGGCCCTCCTTGCAGCGCCACCTCCTCAGAGGACGGGGTGCGCGAGGTCGGGGTCGAAGCGCCTCCTGCTCTCCAGGGTTCCCTGGTTTCTTTTTGTGGCTTCGATCCTCTCTCGTGCATTTCAGGGGCTCCGATCGAACTAACTTCGATTGCACCGATGCTCACCTTGTTTAGGTTTCGGTAGACAGCGTTACTAGCCCAGCACTAGGCCTCCAGAGCTGCTGACAAGCGGGGGCAGTGGCTTGTGTGTGGAAGCAAGACATGTGCCCCCAAGAGATGGAAATGTTTCGGGGTTCAGGGTTTCCAGGATTGGCCATATGAAGCGCGCCCTTGCCAGCGCGCTTGGGCCCAGAGCGCCGACGACGATATGATGTTCCATCCAGGGGTCGTTCCTCGGTGTCGCCCCCTGGGGCCCGATGCCCGGCCCTGGGGCCATCCCATCTGAGCCCAGGGCGAGAAGCTGATTGTAAGAGAGCCCAAGGGAAAACTTGTTTGATCCGCGGGTCGAGAGCGAGCCCCTTCCGGTCGAAGCTAAGCGGGCAGCGCACAGCTTTCATTGACGGAGGGGGGACGGCAGAAGGAGGGGCCTCACGTCCAGGCCAAGAGAGAGCAAAGCCCCGGAATCAGGCGGTGCCGAAGGCGAAGAGCATGCAAAGGAACGCCTTGAACAGGAACCCGGCCCAAGGGAAAACAAGCAAGTCGGCACAAATTCCAGGATTCCCTATATTTTCCATGTTTTTCTTCTAGAGTTTCTCCTTACCCTCCATTTTCCGTGTCCTCCCCCATATTCTCATGGAACTCAGCGTTTATTCGTGTGTTCATGAGATTTCCACGGGGGAACGAGTCGGGAACTCATGGGGCCGCACATTTTCAGAGACCACATCGTCGGACGTTTGGGAACAGGGAATTCCAAAAATGACTCGTCAGTCGGGACATCTCACCTGCGGCGAAAGGCCAGCAAAAGCCGGCGGAAGTAAAATGGCTGCAGTTCCGCCGGCGGAAGGCGGCGGAAGGAAACGAGAGACTTTGAGGAGGAAAGCGCACCAATACGATTACCCTTGCTTCGTTTTCCCCATTTTGGGCCTCCTGTGAGAACCTCGCCGGCACGGTTCGATTCGCTTCTAAATTTTGGTCAGAACACACCTTGGGAGAGGTCTGGGGGGTAGCAGTTTCGGTACATGTTTGTTTCCCCAAAATTGGGGTCCAGGGTTTGCGGGGTCGGCCACAATGACCCGAGGTTCCAGCGCAGGGCGCGGGAAGCTGTTTCGCGTGTTTCGGCGCTTATGAGGCCGTTGTTTGGCTCCGGGGGCCGACAGAGGATGGTCCTGGACGACAAGCCGGTGCTTGGACCGCTGCGTGTTGAAAATGAATTTGGCGTGAAACCAATTTGGGGAACGCTTCTGAAGCGGGATTATTTGGCATTGCTTGTCATTGGTTTGTTTTACTTGGCATTGCATGTTTGTGCAATGGTTTGCTTTGCGTCGCTTGGCATTGATTGGCATTGCTTGGTATTGGTTGGCGTTGCTTCGCATTGCATTACTTGGTATTGCTGCGCATGACTTAGCATTGCTCGGCATTGCTTGGCATTGGCTGGCATTTCTTAGCATTGGCTGGCATTGGTTGGCATTGCTTCGGGTTGCTTAGAATTGCGTGGCATCGCTTGGTATTGCTTTGCGTTGCTTCGCAATGCATTACTTTGTATTGCTGCGCATGGCTCAGCATTGCTCGGCATTGCTTGGCATTGCTCGGCAGTGCCTGGCATTTCTTAGCATTGGCTGGCATTGCTTGGCATTGCTTGGCATTGCTTCGGGTTGCTTAGGATCGCTTGGCATTGCTTAAAGTCTCTTAGCATTGCCTGTCATTGCTTAGCACTGGTTGGCATTGCTTGGCGTTGCTTTGCTTGGCGTTGCCTTGTTCGGCTTTGTTTTATACTGCTTGGCATTACTCGACATTGCTTGGTGTCGTTTGGCTTTGTGTTGCTTGGCATTGCTTGGGATTGGTTTGTTCGGTGTCGCTTTGTATTGCGTTGCACGGCTTTCCATTGCTTGGCATTGCGTTGCATGGCTTGGCATTTCTTGACATTGCTTGGCATTGATTGGCTTTGCTTGGCATTGCTTAGCATTGATTTGTATTGCTTTGCATGGCTTTGCTTTGCTTTGCCTTGCTCTACGTTGCTTTTCATTGCATGGCATTGCTTGGCAGTGCTTGCCAACCCAGGGAACGCCTCTTCAAATCAGAAAGGAAACAAGACCAAGAAGCCCAGGGAACCCGGAGAACCCGAGAAAGGCCGTTCGAAAGTGGTAAGGAAACAAGACCGGGATATTTCCATGTTCTTTGATAAGGAGACACGACCTGGAACCCCCAGGGAACCCCAGCGCAGCCAGGTCCGGCACCAACCAGGTTCTTCAGCGAGGAGCAAGAAGCCTAAAGGCAAAGCTTGAAGTGGGAGAAGCAGGGCGGGAGTTTTCCATTGTCTTCGGCGCTTGGAAACTGTTGTCGGGCTCCAGGCGCGTCACACGATTTTGGGAAGAGGGACTCGTCCAGGGAAGTTGTCGAGAGTCCCAGGGGCCCCGCATTGAAAGAAACTCTGCGTTGGGCACCTGGAAGAGGGTCGGGGATGCACTACATCTCACACTGGTCTCGCTAAGGTAATCGCGCTTCGCGGTCCAGGGCACGGAGCCCGTCCTCCTAGAGCGAGCGGCGCGAAAGCGTAAAGATGACCGCGCTTCGCGCAGCGCGATGCGCGAACTCGGGGGGCCTCCAGATCGCTCCGCCTCGCCGACGTGTCCGCGATACAACGCGGTCTGGATGCCGGTTGCCTCCGCAGCGGCATCGCTGGTGCACCGCGTCGGTGCTTCGGGCCGAGCTCGTTGGGATAACAAGTTTTGAGCGCGGGTGGGTATCATAGCCTTGGCCATCATCTATCCCCAGCTTTCATGGCCCTCCCTTCTCCTTTCAACACGACGTCCCTGGGCCCCGCCCCTCGTTCGCGCACGTGCCTTGGGCCAAGATCTGTGAGCCCCCCTGGGGGGCGACCCCTCCTGGGATGCCCCCGAGCAGTGCGGTGCGCTCTTACGGCCCCCGAGTGCTCCACGGCACCTTTTCTGAGAGGCCTCCCGCGAGGAGCGGGAGCCGTTCCCGCTGAGGCCGCTGGCACCGCCGCCGGAGATCCCAGACTTCATGGCGCCCCCGTCCGTCCGCGCGGACTTCGGGCGACGACAAACTTTTGCACCGGCGCCGATGTTGGTGGGGCTCGTCCTGGGTCGTGTTGGCCCGCCATCCGGGGCCCAGGACGGTGTCTTGGCATCGCTCGGACGTGTGCATTTTTTTCTCGGCGAGAACCATCGAGGAACATCCTGGACCATCGAGGAAAAAAAACACGCACGAAACCGAAAAATGCACGGGAAATGGACGTCCGAGCGATGGCAAGGTGTTGGCAGTGGCGAAGAGCTCCTGGAAGCCCCTGCTAACGATGCCCACGCGACGACGCCGACTCTGGCCGAGCCCGTCCTGGGCCCAGGGTCGATGCACACCCCACCGTGGCGATGCCAGGAGTCGAGTAATTGATCGAAGGATAACGAAGAAATAATCTGAGGCGGCACGCGTGCAGATATCACGGGCTCCGCGCGGATCTCTCGGATCGGCGTTGGACACCCCTGTGGATGTATGGGCGTGAGGAATTCCGAAGGGGGTGACTGGATGAGGCTATTGCGTAAACATTCGGCGAAGGTCCTTGCGGATATCTTGTGTTGGCGCTGGCCACCCCGTCGCAGCGCCTCCGGCGCCGCCCCTGGCGTGCTCCGTGCGCCAGGGAGGGGGGTCCAGCGCCGATCCAAGAGATTCGCGCGGACCTCCGAAAGAACCTGCTTATGTGGGCTCATTTTTTCTATAAGGAAGGGATGCCAGGGAGCCTTCTAAGCACGACGCGGATGAGCACATGAGGGCGCATGCGGCCTTTCCAGCGCCCAGCTCCCGCGCGGCTACACACAGGTTGGCCCTCCGCATGCGTATCCAGCGCGTGGCATCCAGATGTCCCGCGCGTGGATCCAGCTGCGCGTGTTTCCATTTTCCAGACTCCCTCGCGTCTTGAAACAGTTATGACGGTTGGGCTCCGATTGCTCTCATACTCTAGAGGCCCTCATCGGGCCCCAGGACCACCAAACAACGACCCAGGTTGAGGAACCAGTCCCGGGGAATGGGTCGAGATTTCTGGAGGTTGTCAGGGGCGGAAAAGAGGCGGGTGATGACTAGGGGGGGTGGATATCATGGCGTGGGCCATGATATCTCCCCAGATTTCGTGGCGCCTCTTCTTATTTTATCCCTGGCCCTCCCGCTGGGCCGCGTACATGCCACCGGTCATGATTTGCACCCCTCCCTCTTGGACACCCCCCTCTTGGCCGCCGCTCCCGAGGTTGACGTTGCTGAAAACCACGACGTCGGGGGGGGGGTCCCGGTACGCACCGATGCATGGCCCAGAGTCGTGGACCCAAATTGGTATCGGTTTCCAGTGCCAAGCATCCCACGGTGTGCTTCCTATTTCAGAGCGGTCCCGACCTCCTCCACAGGGACAGCTTTCCGCCCCAGGTCGATTCTTGAGAGCCCCGACGTCCGACAATGGCGCCTATGAGGCCGACGTCAACAGCCCCCAGAGATCCGTGTCACGATCGGTTTGTGAAGCGCGGGGCCCCCAGCAGTCTCGACCCTTTCCACGAAGCCGGTTTGTCAGCTCGAGCCGCGGCTTGAAAAACAGACCGTTTTTGGACGGCCGTCGTTGGACTGCCTCGGGGCCCACCGTATAGTCACGGGGCCCGGCGGACAGCTTCGATCAGATTTCGCAAGTCATTGCAGCTCTGGGCCTGCAGCTGTCCTTCAGGATAATGACGAAGACGCAGGCCCAGACGGCCGTCGTATCCCCAAGAGGTCCCGACCTCTTCCGGGGGGGGGGGGCGGCTTCTCGCCCGCGCCGCGAAACTGCTTGGAAGCCGCCTGGACTGGGACGGAGTGAAGCCGCACGGATGGAGACCAGCAAAAAGAATCCTTCCGATGTCTGCGGGCCCGAGCATCCGGCGGTATTTTCTTTCTTGTTCCACGCGAGGCCCCAGAGACTCCGACCCCTTCCCTGAAAGCAGCTTTTCGCCCCGGATCTGTTTCGGGCCACAGGGCTTCCATCACGAAGAACCGCCAGGGGTGAGAAGGCCGTGCCGAGTCGGAGATCTGGGTGGCTGTCGTCGTCGTCGTTGTCGTCGTCGCATGCAGGCCCTGGCCTCCCGGAAAGCCGCCGCCGTGGCGAGCCAGGCTCGGGTCGGACGAAACGGGGGTGATGGGGGAAAGGGGGTTGAGACCGTGAAGCGCCCTCTCCACATGTCAACTGCTGCTTACAATCGAATTAGAAGAACATATACTGACCGAGCTACCTCATATCGTCGCCAAAGGGGGGGGAGGGGATACGGAATCTGCTGCCTGAGCACCTGGTTGCGGCCCCGCCGCGGGGGGGGGCCTCTCCTCGATGCACGGGCGCCTCTGGCGCCGGGAGGCGCCAGAAAAAGCCAGCTGTGCACGCTGATTCGCTAACCCCAGATCCCCGAGGGCAAGTTTTTTTGCTCATCACTTTGACTCCCTGAGGTCTCGACCCATTCCCTGGGACGGGCTTCTCGTCCTGAGTCGTTTTTGTTGACGGTCCCGAGGCCAGGCGAGGCCATCCAGAGTCCGGACATAGCAAAATACTGCTTGTCGCTGTTTTTCACGACGTGAGGGGGTCTGGGACCCCATGCCTTTTGCTGTGCCCTCCCCCCCCGTCGCCCGAGACCCGGCAGGCCGCGGCCGCGGCGGAGAAGGCTCGGGCGGCGGCGGCCGAAGCGGACGCCGTGGCCGCCTCCGCGTCCGAGGCCACGGCGGATGCCGCGTCCGCCCAGGCGGCAGCACACCTCTTTGTGGCGGGTGCGCACAGGTCTCGGGCCTCCCAGGTGGGGTCCGAGCAGGTGGGGGTCGGAGGGTCGCGCCGCATCGTAGGGGTCTGGCGGTTTGGTAGGGGTCGGTTTGGCCGCGCCCGATCGGTCCGAGGCGGGGATCTGTACGTACCAACCGCCTGAGGGATCGATCTTCGGGGGCCTCGGCAGGCGGTGGATATGGACATGTTCGGGCCCCTCGGGGCCAAAGTGTGTCCACATCCACCGCCCGCTGGGGTCCCAAGAGGCGGCGTATGTGGGTAGATCCCCGCCTCGCAGTCGGCTTCATGTGGAGCCTGCTCCTCTCCACGCCGACGTCGCCGATGGATCGACGATGCTGCACGATCCTCCGACCGCACTGCACTTTTGCTCACATCGGGCGCTCTCTCGGCTGGTTCCGGGATCATCACATATCGATCCAGCTCGAAAAGTATGGCAGAAAGATGAGGACTGGGGCTACGGTCGTGATTATTCGTGATATTGCAGTTCTCTCTCTCTTTCTCTCTCTCTCTCTCTCTCTCTCTCTCTCTCTCTATGTCTCTCTTTTTCTCTCTCTCTCTCTCTCTCTCTTTCTCTCTCTCTCTCTCTCTCTCTCTCTTTCTCTCTCTCTTTCTCTCTCTCTCTCTCTCTCTCTCTCTCTCTCTCTCTATCTCTCTCTCTCTCTCTCTCTCTCTATATATATATATATATATATATATACCGGGGTACCGGGGGCCAGGGCCCCGGGTCGGGACACCCTCCCGAATTGTTGTCGCTTCGCGAATCCCCACCAGCCCATCCAGAAACGATGCCCAGAGGAATTGCCTCGATCAGAGAAGTGGGCAGCACACAGAGGAAGCCATTATGAGACATCTTGGGATATCTTGAGCCATCTTGGAGGTCATTTTGGGCTCTCCCAGACGCTCTTGGAGTCATCTTAATCCGTGCCCCCCCCCAAGAGGCCTCCATGTGGCTAAAACCTGTGTAGAATCAATGATTAGGCATTCTCGCCGAGGCCTCTTGGAGCATCTTGGGTGCATCTGGGGGGGCTCTTGGGGCCTCTTGGGGGTCTCTTGGGGGCCTCCGGGGGGCCTCTTGGGGGCCTCTTGGGGCCATTTTGGGGCCATGTTGGGACCTCTTGGGGCTTCCTGGGCGCTTCTTGGGGCCATCTTGGAGGGAGTCGATCAAACAAGAGGGGGGGGTGAATTAGCGCCCCCCCTCGGAAGCCCCTAAAATCGCCTCTTGGACCCCTCTTGGAACGCTCTTGGAGTGCTCTTGGGCGCTCTTGGGGCCGTCTTGGGGCTCTTTTGGGGCTCTCTTGGGGCCCTCTTGGGCCATCTTGGAGCCATCTCCAGGCCTCGGATGGCCATCGGAAGCGAAAAGGCGAGAAAGCAAAAATCATTGATTTTCCTTAGGTTTTGGGACGATTTTGGCCTCTTCGGGGCCTCCTTGGGGAGCTGTTTGGCCACTTGGAGTTATCTTGGGGCCGTCTTTGGGCTTCTTGGAACCATCTTAGGAGCCATCGTGAGCGATCTTGCGCTATCTTGAGCCATCTTGGAGCTCATCTTGGGTTCTCTGAGGCGCTCTTGGAGCCGTCTTGGGCCATCTGGGACGCTCTAACTACCCGCGGCCCCCCCCGTCCAGGTCCAGGGGAGGGGGTAGGGGGAGGGGTAAACCCCTCCCCAAGGGGGAAGAGGGAGGGGTGGAAGAGGATCTGCTCTAGACCACCTACGCCCAGAGGGCTGGTGGGATTTCCCCCCCCCCGGTAACCCACTTTGCCCCCGGGCGTCCGGAGGCTCTTTTGCGCCCCCGGAGGCGTCCACCACGGCTTCCGGGGACGGCAAGAAGTCGCCAAGACGGCCCAAGAGCGCTCCAAGACTCTCAAGATAGCCCCATCAAGGCCCAAGGGGCCCCCAAGAAGCCCCAGGGGCGCTCCGAGAGGCTTTCCAAGAGAGCCCCAAGAGGCTAAAATCATATATCCCACCAGCCCTCTGGGCGTAGGTGGTCTAGAGCAGATCCTCTTCCACCCCTCCCTCTTCCCCCTTGGGGAGGGGGTTTACCCCTCCCCCTACCCCCTCCCCTGGACCTGGACGGGGGGGGCCGCGGGTAGTTAGAGCGTCCAAGATGGCCCAAGACGGCTCCAAGAGCGCCTCAGAGAACCCAAGATGAGCTCCAAGATGGCTCAAGATAGCGCAAGATCGCTCACGATGGCTCCTAAGATGGTTCCAAGAAGCCCAAAGACGGCCCCAAGATAACTCCAAGTGGCCAAACAGCTCCCCAAGGAGGCCCCGAAGAGGCCAAAATCGTCCCAAAACCTAAGGAAAATCAATGATTTTTGCTTTCTCGCCTTTTCGCTTCCGATGGCCATCCGAGGCCTGGAGATGGCTCCAAGATGGCCCAAGAGGGCCCCAAGAGAGCCCCAAAAGAGCCCCAAGACGGCCCCAAGAGCGCCCAAGAGCACTCCAAGAGCGTTCCAAGAGGGGTCCAAGAGGCGATTTTAGGGGCTTCCGAGGGGGGGCGCTAATTCACCCCCCCCTCTTGTTTGATCGACTCCCTCCAAGATGGCCCCAAGAAGCGCCCAGGAAGCCCCAAGAGGTCCCAAGATGGCCCCAAAATGGCCCCAAGAGGCCCCCAAGAGGCCCCCCGGAGGCCCCCAAGAGACCCCCAAGAGGCCCCAAGAGCCCCCCCAGATGCACCCAAGATGCTCCAAGAGGCCTCGGCGAGAATGCCTAATCATTGATTCTACACAGGTTTTAGCCACATGGAGGCCTCTTGGGGGGGGGCACGGATTAAGATGACTCCAAGAGCGTCTGGGAGAGCCCAAAATGACCTCCAAGATGGCTCAAGATATCCCAAGATGTCTCATAATGGCTTCCTCTGTGTGCTGCCCACTTCTCTGATCGAGGCAATTCCTCTGGGCATCGTTTCTGGATGGGCTGGTGGGGATTCGCGAAGCGACAACAATTTTCATTGTGTTTTTCAAAGTTTGTTTGCTTGCCCGCGTTTTCGGGCTTCTGACCTTCCAAGATCGCCGAGGAAGCCTCGAACATCGCCCCAAGACAGCCCAAAAGGCCCCCGAAAGGCCCCCAAGACAGCCCAAGAGGGCGCCCAAACGGTCCAAGAGGCGCCCAAGACGGCCCAAGAGGGCTTCAAGACGGCCCCAAGAGGTGCCAAAGAGGGGGAACACGAACCGACAATGGAGATTTCCGCCCCAATAGGCCCCAAGAGGCCCCAAGAGGCTTAAAAATGCCCCCATCAGAGACCCCAAAGAGGCCCCAAGATGCCCCAAAACGGCCCAAAAGGGTCGGCCTGTGGGGCTCACCGAGCCCCCCGAGACGGCCCAAGAGGCCCCGAAGCCGGCCCAGGAGGCCCAACCAGACGGCCTCAGGGAGGCCCAAGAGGGCCCCGTTCGAAATCATGTTGCTGGAAGCCTCTCCGGGAACATGACTTCCGGGTTCCGAGGACGCCCTAGAGGGCCCCAGGACAGCCTCAGCGAGGCCCAAGAGGGCCCGCGATGGCTTCAAGATGGCCGAAGGGGGCCCCAAGAGGGCCTTCAAGAGGCAAAAATCAGCCCGTCACCATACTAAAACGTACGGACTCGGCGCGAGACAACTGGCGACCGCAGCTGCCGTCCCTTCGTGCTGGGCGAGTGCGAACCTGGCGTTCAGTTTGGACGGGACGTGTCTGGTCTGTTGCCAATCGGGGCTGCGCCAGGTTAGGCCACCCCCAAGGTCAGGTTCGGGAATGGGTCGTAGCAACACGACGACGACGACGACGACGACGACGACGACGACGACGACGGCACGCCCCACAGGCTCCCCAAGACGCCCCAAACCCATGCTCCCAGAAGGCCTTCTGGGAACCCGACTCATACGGCCTCCGCCCCCTACACAACAATTTTCCTCGAAGGCCTTTCGGAATGCAGATTGGTATGTGTGGACTGTGGTCCACTACTTCAGTGGAGCAGTGAATTCGTCAAGGCCTGGGGCCTGCTAGAGCCTGAGCGCGCGCGATGGTTCTAGTGTATATATATATATATATGTATAGAGAGAGAGAGAGAGAGAGAGAGAGAGAGAGATTCGCAGCGGCGGATCTCAGAGGAGCGGGGCGATCTCTTAAGAAGCCTAGGGCTGCAGAGAAGGCAGAGGGCCTATCAGAGGGCTCGGGAGCTCCTCAAAGCCTTCTTCCGACCACACGTAAGAGTGACCCTTCGTCGGAGTGACCGTTGGTGCGCGCTCCCCGGTCGCTGGGTGCGATGCGATGGAAGCGGCTTGCGCGGTCGAGTTTGGCCCGCCGCTTCCCCCCCCCCTTAAAGCCACGCACCAAAGGTCATTCTTGCCTAGGGTCTTGGCATCGCTCGGACGTGTGCATTTTTTCCTTCGGCGAGGACCATCGAGGAGCATCCTCGATCATTTCGCGAAAAAACCACGCACGACACCGAGAAAAGCACAGGATATGGACGTCCGAGCGATGGCCAGGAGTGCGATGCGATGGAAGCGGCTTGCGCGGTTGAGTTTGGCCCGCCGCTTCCCTTTCCTCAAAGCCACGCACCAGAGGTCACTCTTGCCCAGGGTCACTCCTGCGCGCAGCCGATTCCTGAAAGCCCTCCCGGGGCCCCTCTGATACAGTCGGGGACCTGAAGAAGGAACCCTTTTGGTTGGGGAGGGGCTCCGCGTTCCTTAAGTGTTTCACAGCTTGCCTCAGGTTTTCCTTATGTTTTCGATAGGAAATCGAAGTTTAACAGAAGGAAAAAAGAGGCCTCGTTCCTTATTTAGGGTTCCTTAGGTCAACGCCTCTGAGGAGGCCCCTGCCTTCTGAGACGCCCCCCGCCCTCTTGCCGGGCCGCCCCCCTCGGGCCACCCCCCTTTGTGGGCGCCGCCAGCCTTCGATCCGACTGGCCCCTCAGACCTCCAGCGCATAAAGCAGGCCCAGATATTCGACGACGTTTTCCTTGCGTTTTCCTTCGATGTAAGCTTTTCCTTCGTTTTCGATTGCTTCGACCCCGACGTTTTCATTCGATTTCGGCCTCTGGGACCCGTTCTCAGGCTCTTGGGCCATCAGTATCGGATCTGGGCGAACAGCTTGCCTGGGAGGAGGTGTCGGTAACTCTCTGGGGCCGCGCACTGAAAAGGATCACGTCGTCGAGTGCCTGGGCCCGCAGGCCGCAAACGTGTTGAACGAATCGGTGCAAAGGTCTGTGAGACGCTTGCGGCCTCCAGGCGCCCTTGCTGGGCCCTCGACCGTCAACAGAAAGGCTCGGGACGAAAAGCCGAAGCGTGGACTCGGGGATCTTACCCTGAAGCATTTTTGACCACATATTCTTTTACATATCTTTATTATTATTAGGATCAGAATAAGAATAAGAATAATAATAATAATACTAATAAGAATAAGAATAATAATAATAATAATAATAATAATAAGGCGTCCAGATGTCTGCCACGAGGCGTGCAGGCACCCCGCACTGCTTCAGACAGCTCTCGTGCCGCCGGTGGTGCGATGCGATGCGATGAAAAGCCCGCCCTGGGAAAAGGATCGAAACCTTTCAGGAGGGATAGAAACACACAGACACCATTAATCTTCGACTCCCAGGACAATATGGGAAAATATGGGAAGTGGGGGGGAAGACGAACGTCCAAAATAGATGGGAAAATATAGGGCATCCTTTTATCTGTGTGTATTTATTTGTGTGTCCCAGGGCCCCTTCAACCTTGGGGGCCCCGTGTTGAAAAATCAATAATACATCGGATCCAGTCGGTCCGATCGTCAGAGGTGGCTGATGCGACCGACCCGGTCTGATCCGACCGACCCGGTCTGGTATTGGCTTTGGCCAGCTCGATCCGAGTCAATTCTGATGGTCCGGCGTGCGATGTGGCCCGATGCTCACATGGCGTCGTTGCGCAGCCGATTCGGTTCAATTTCGATTTCGAAGCGATGCAGCCCGTTCCGATGGTCATTGCGATCTGGCCCGACTTGCCAGTTCGATGCTGACTGATCCTGCCAGGCGGCGGCCACGAACCTGGGGCTGGTCGGAGGCATCCGGCGGATCGCCAAGCCCATACGTCCAACGTCTTGAAGAATTCAGTGCGGGGAGCTGTTCGTCGTTTACAGCGTCTGTAGGCAACCACAAGTGAACCCCACATGCAGATCAGATTTCTGAAACGTCGGCTGGGGTTCAAAAGTCGAAGGATGTCTTCAGCCAAGTCGACCCCAGCGGGGGTGTCCGATACCCTAGCGCCGATGGGATCTGCATGGGCAGGGTTCGCACGCTGTCGCAGAGCCTCGGGGGCCGTTTTCGAGATCCAGGACTTTCAACAAAAACTATTTGGGGCGAAACCCAGTAAGCTGTCAAGAGGTCCGAGAATCACGTATCGAGGAAGTCGAGGCAGCAGAGGGTAGCTGGAGGGGGGGGGTCTTCCTAGAAGGCAACGGCCTTCTCGGAAGAAAGTCTCGGGACCTTCGAAGAGGACTCCCTGGATGGATCCGAGCTTTGTTGCGAAGTCCCCCGCCTTCTCAGAAGATTGGTGGGCTGCATTGAGGACCAGCTAAGACAAGACACATGATAGAGGTCCGCGCGGACTTCTTTGCTCGTCGCTGGCCTCCCCTGTCACCCCACCCCACTGGCGGCGCCTCCAGCGCCGCCCTTGGGAGGAGATGTGGAGACGGGTTCCCAGTGGTGCTGACACCAGAAAATGGCACGGCAGCGCCTGCGCCCCCTGAGTGGTGGGCACGACCCTGGCGCCGAGCCCCAGGACCGACGCGGGGGCGAGCTCCCAGGGCCTTTCAAAGCGAATGCACCTAGGCCCCCCGGATCGGGTCGGAGCAGATGGGGCTCGATGTGGAGCCCGACTCGCTTCACGTCGACGTCGCCGATGCATCGCCGACGTCGACGACACATCGCCGGTGCATCGCCGATGCATCGCCGGTGCATCGCCGGTGCATCGCCGATGCGGCGCGATCCTCCGACCCCATCTACTGCTACCCCATCTAGGAGGCCTCTAATGCATGTATGCCGCTGCCAAGACATCCCACGGTGTGACTTTTTGAATGCGCGGCCCCACAGACGTTCCGACCCCTTCCCTGGGATCTGTTTTTCGCTCCAGATGCGCTTTTGATGGCCCTGGGTGCCCCAAGAACGGTCCCCAGAAACCGAAATGGAGGAAAGACGCCGGGGTTGAAAACATCACCTCGTCGGAGGTTTGGTTATCAACGCAACACTCGGGCCACCAGCGGCCGTTCGGGACGATTCGGGCACCTCCAGAGCGCTTTCGGCGAGGCGCAGCTGCTGAAAACAGCATCCCGAGGCGAGGAGACCTCCATGGACCAACGAGAACCTCCGGGAAAGACCGTGGCATATTGTCGTCGGAGATCTGGGGAGGACGGGTTGTGGCTTCGACCCCTCAGAGGTCCGACGGAGGGCCCTCCCCTTCCCTTTGAGCAATGTTTCGCCCTGGATCCGCTTTTGATGGCCATGGGGCCCGAGAACGGGCCACAAATGCCGAAGTCGAGGAAAAATCTGCCTGGACTGACAAAAATAGCACATCGTCGGGCATCTGGGCTTCAGGCCAACACTCGGGCCTCCAGCGGCCGTTCGGGACGATTCTGGCACCCCGGGAACGCACTGGGCGAGGCGCAGCTGCTGGAAACAGCATCCTGAGGCGAGGACAAAAACCTCCAGGAAAGACCGTGGCATATTGATTGTCGTCGGTGATCTTGGGAGGGTGGGTCCCTAGACCCCCGACGTCATTTTTACGACGTGGACCCCATCCAGGCCTCGACGCATTCCCCAGGACCCGGCGAGGGCCCCCAGAGGCAGGAAATTGCCACGACAATCCCATCGTGATTCTTTCGCGGCGCGAGGGGAGAGCATGCAACGCGTGGAACGACACCAACGAAGCCATCAACGAATGGATTAGCCGTGGTGAGGCGGCTACTGATGACGCCCACCTCGATGGCCGCTATAATTCCGATCCGGCCCCCGAATTCCCAAAGGCAGGAGGGGAAGAAACACACAAACACAATTAATCTTCGACTCCCAGGAAAATATTGGAAAATATGGGAAGTGGGGGGGGGGAAGACGAAAACCCAGAAAATATTGAAAAATATTGGGAATCCTATTATTTGTGTCTATTTGTTTGTGTGTCCCATGGCCCCCGAGTTCCCGACCATGGCCGGGGGCTCCAGGCCTGGCTGGCGGCCGCTGCCTGCCAGGGCCCAGGGCCACAGGGTGAGCCCGCCGAGGCCTGGGTGGCACCAGTCGGCCTTCTACTCCCGACCTTGCTGCCCGGTCCTGCGCCGCCCCCCGCCTTCCTCCATCACACGAGAAACCGACTAGACGTAAGAGTGACCTTTCGCCAGAGTGACCTTTGGTGCGGGCACAGATGGGCCCTCAGATTGCTGAAAACGAAGCGGTAGCAGCTGCTTGCGCGCCCAGGTTTGGTCTCCCCGCGGCCCCCCAAAAGCCGCGCACCAAAGGTCACTCGTACCCAGGGTCACTCCTGCGTATAGCCGACGGACAGAACAACTCCAGGGCAAGCACCCTCGTCGAAGCGACGTGGCGCTGGAGGCTGCGCCCGAGGAGTGAGGAGGCATCGGCAGGAGAAATCCAGGTAATTCCAACCCAGATCCCCCCGCCCTCCTCTCCCCCCCCCCCCCCGCGGCTGTGGTCCCTGCAGGCATGGTGCGGAGCCTGAACAGGGCCCTGGCCGAGGCGCTCGGCCCTGCCGCGGCTCCGGCCGCCGGGGCGGTCGGCCCGGCCGCCCGTGGGCGTGCTCCGGAGGGCCAGGCAGCTCGGAGACGGCACTGCCGTGCACCACCACCGTCCCTGGGCCAGGGCCGCCCCCCAGAGTCGGGTGCTGCTGGCAGTGCCCCTGGCCCAGGGTGCCCCTAGCTTTTCGCACCATTTTGGGGCCCCTGGGGCCCCCTGGGCCTCGTGAGGGGTACCCTGGAGGCCGTCTGGGCTACCCCGAGAATCCTGGGGGTACCTTGGGCCAGGGGCACTTCTAGCAACACCCGACAGAGGAGGGAGCGATGTCGATACCGCTGCTCGTCCTGGAGAGCCCTCGGCCGTCGCCATGGCCGGATTCTCCTCGCGATGCTGGTCAGAGCGCGCCCCAGGAGAGGTCCGTGGAGCAGCGGTATGGGTGTCTTTTGGTTTCCCCAGCTCCCGTTGGGGAGCACCCCCCGCGAATATCCGAGATGGCCCAAGTATTCGAGTATTCCCCCAGATGTCCACCGGGCCCTTCGCTGCCTGAGATCTGGGCGTTGATTTGTTGTTCACGCTGGGCGGTTTCGCCCCTTAGGACTATCACAGATCGATCGGGTTTGAATAACGTAGCAGAAGAATTGGATCCAGGGCTCGGGTCGTGATGTTGCGCGATGTTGTGTTCTTTCGCAGCGTCGGATCTCAGGGTGCTGCTGGATGCTACATGCATCACTCTGACGAAAGGTTATTCGATCTGCCTTTGCCAACGTCGTAGCAGGGCGGAGTACTTCGGAGTAAGAGTATTTCAACTATTCCGCGCGCGGGCGCATCCCGCTCGCGACATTATAGGGTGCGGCGCGGAGTAGTTTCTGACCCGGTTTTTGGGTATCAGAGTTGTGAGCATCAGGCGGATTGTAAGCTACCCCGCCGAATGACACAATCATTATGTCCTGTTGGGATTATTGGGAGGGATGGGAGATATCTTGGCTATAGCAAATTGATGAAACTTTTTGTCGCAGCTGTATGCAATCGTGTGGCCCTTTTTTTCGCGATGCATTCCCAGTGCACCTGCAAGTCCAGGCAACGAGCAATCGAGAATGAATTGTCGGCCGCGGCACAATTTCGGTCCACGACCTGCTTGCAGGCCTCCCAGAACCTACCAGCCATCTGCTTCGCCACTGTCAGGACCTTGGCCGACTTCAGGACCCCCTTGACCCTGGCGGTGTTGGCGGTCTTGCCCAAGGGCCAGCGCTTCTTGTGCAAGTCTTACAGGCCCATAACGGCGGCTGAGACGACGGAGGCGAAGACGCGCGTGCTTTTTCCTCAACAGCGCCGCCGCCTCGTCATGTGGGCACACCCCTCACACTCTTGGTGGCCCCATAAGGAGCTCCACCGAAGGCCCCAGCGGCTACGGTCGCATGCCGCCAGTCCACTATTTCGGCGCACCCTCTTTGTTACGCGGCGCCATAGGAAGTTCCACCGAAGGCCACAGTGGCCTCGGTCGCACGTCGCCACCTCGCAATTTCGGCCCCCTCATACACGCTTCGTGGCTCCATAGGGAGCCCCACCAACGGGCTCAGTGGCCGCAGTCGCAAAGTCATTGCCATCGCCAGCATTACCATGACCAGCATTATCATAAACGCCGTCGTGATAGTCGTCTCCATCGCCATCGTTATCGACATGGCCTTGGGCGTTGATCGAATGAACCCATGAACGACGGGACGGCTTGCGATTTCCCCCATCACCGTGACGAGAGTGTCTTACAATCGGATTTCGCCAAGAGCGCAGCAGGGTGGAGTAGTTCGGAGTAAGGGAGCTCCAACTACTCCGTGGGTTCCGATCCGGTTCTGGGGTAAGAGCGATTTAAGCACCTGGCGAATCGGAAACTACTACGCCGAATGACGCAATCATCATGTCATGTTGGGGCCCCAATACCACCCCCAAGAGGTTTCCTGGGAGCTCCCCGTCGCCATGGCGGGGTTTCCCTCTCCCGTTGACATCCCCGGGATCTGTTCCGGAGGCCTGGGCCACGAGGCCAATGCCGCAGGGGATTCTTCGCCCCCATGCAATCCCCAGGTTTCCCTGGTCAGACCTTTCGGAAAAGATGGGAGGTTCGGGGGTACACCTCCAGGGCCCCAAGGGGCTGTTCGGACGCACCCCTATCGAGGACGGGCGCCCTTCCATCGCGTTTATCCCCGAGGTGGGCTCTAAATGCACGTGTCGGCGAAGACCCATAAAGTCTGGGATTGGGGTCGCCATTCCCTCCGCTACTGGGCCGTGGGATGTTGTGAACGGCGGTCAGGAGCTCTGATCTCCATCGGCATGAAGTTTTCAATCCTGGCGTTTCTCGATTTCGGCTTCTGGGGCCCGCTATGGGGCCCTGGGAACCTCAAGCATAGACCACGACGGAGCATCCTGGATCATCCTGCGAAAACGCCACGCACCAAACCGAAAAGAACACTGGGAATGGACGTCCGAGCGACGGGGAGTTACTGGATGAGCGCATCGCGCCGCCAGCTCTGGCGCACCGCGCTTCGGCGCGACGCGCTGAGCACGTCCCGGTCCCCAAAGCAGCAGCGTGCCGCACTTTTGGCCGGCCTCCCGCCCGACGAGGCAGAGCGACGCGCTGCCAGCCTGCAGGGCACGAGCGTGTCGCAGGCCCCCCCCCCCCCCGCCGCGACACGCTGGGCCACAGCTCCTCGCCGCACACCCTCCCAGTCTCGACCAGGAGGGTCTGCAGCAGACACGCCACGTGAGAAGCCAGCTTAGCCAGCAGGTGCCCCACGAGAGCTCACCATCCCCCGATGGCCCCTGGGGGGCCCACGGAGGCTCCGGGGCACCTTCGGACCCTCGAGGACCGACGAGGAAAGAATGTGCTGCAACATCTCTCAGAACGAGGTTCCCTCAGGCACGCGCCAGCGTATAGCACCCGTGGGCTCAGACTGGCCCCAATCATCGGCATCGTCTTGCCGATCCCCATCCCCACTGCCACAGCACCTCGGCCCCGCCAGCCCACCTCCCGAGGTGGGGACGGGCCCCTCGAGCCAGCCTCTGGGGGGGGGTACGTCGGCCAGCGGGGCCGAGGCCGCCACAGTGGTTGGCGGCGGCGCGAGGCTGCCTCTTCCTTGGCATCGCTCGGACGAGTGCATCTTCTCTCGGCGAGGATCTTCGAGGAGCATCCTCGACCTCTGGGAAAAAAGGCACGCACGAAACCGAAAAATGCACGGGGAACACACGTCCGAGCGATGGCAAGCTTCGTGGCAGGCAGAGGGGCCGCCGTCCATCGATCGGCGCCTGCTGCGCCCCGACGGGCGCCCCTGGTGGCCCGCGAAGCCGCCGCCGCCGGCGCCGCCCGCGCAAGAGCTGCTGCTTGCGAGGACCGCGGAAAGAACAGAACGGCATGCTCATGACCGACACCCCTGAGATCTGGGCGTTGCAGTTTTTTCACATCGGTGCGTTCCCGCCCGGCTTCGGGCGCCAGGTCCATGACCGATCGATCCAGCTCGGAGCACGCCGCCGAAAGATGGGGTCTACGTAGAGCTCGTAGTGTTTTTGTTCGCGGTGTTGCATGTTTTCGCGATGTCGGACCTCAGGCAGGGCCTTCGGCACGGAGGGGGGCCAGGAAAGGCACCCGATTTCGGGGGCGTCGGAAATTAAACACAGAACCCTGACAGGCACGCTGCTTATGGAACGGTAGTGATTTCGTGAGGCCGCGGGGACGTCTTGGATCGGCGCTGGTGCCATCTCCCACTGGCGCGCGGAGCGCGCCAGAGGCGTCGCCGCCGCCAGGGGGCTCCAGTGCCAACCAGAGAGACCCGCGCGGATCTCTGGAAGCCGCGGGGGGGCTCGCCCGCTCGGGGGCATTGAGGCTTGGGCGCCTCAAGCGGATCGAGGCCTCGGGGACCGTGGCTTCGCGCATCTGTACGGGCGGGGGGCGACAAGTCGATCGACGAAACACCACATCGGTGACGTCGCGGTCGGCTCGTTTGGGGGGGGGCGCGCGCCGACTCTGGCCAGGGCCTGGGGCCCCAGACGGCCCTGGGGCCCCAGGCGCGCCCCGCCCTCGCCCCCTCCGAGCAGCGCCGCCGCGGCTGCCCCGCGCAGTGTGCGCTGGCCAGGGTGCAGATCGAGAGGAGGAGGCGATGGCTGGAGCTTGCTCTTCACCTCCTCCTCCTCCTCCTCCTCCTCCTCCTCCTCCTCCTCCTCCTCCTCCTCCTCCTCCTCCTCCTCTGGGAGGGGCGGGGCGCCTGGCCCTCGGCCCCGCCAAGCTCGGGCAGAAGGGAGAGGGGCGGGCACCAGGCGCTGCGTGCTCAGTCACAGCGTTCCTTTCAGCTCGTGCCAATCTTTCGCCTCTCACAAAAGGTTGCCGTGAGAGGGACGCATCGGTGTGACTTCCATTCTTTTTGAGGGGGTGATCCCCGATTCTCTCAGTCCCGGTTGCCGCCCGCTCCGAGCGGAGAGTGGCACGTACCCCGGCAGTGGAGGCGGTTTGCCACTTGCTGTGGTCTGTCGTGCACGTCTGATCCCGCACACCGATCATCAGGCGATCGCAAACATAGATCAAGGGGGCGTGGATTAGCGACGGGTCCCGTTTCCGTCGGGAATCGCGGATTTTCGGCCCCGAGGGAGGCGGCAACGGCCGCATTTTGGGGAGGGCACCTCCCCCGATCCATAGATTTGGCGACCGCGCGCCAAATCCATGGATCGCTAATCCATGTTTGCGCGCCCCCGAGTCTTGAGAAGGAGCAGCAAGTGTCACTGATCCCAGATGGTTTTTGAGAAAATCAAGAATCTTGACTGGACCCCGAACGTCTTCTGGAGCTCCCTTCTTCGCTGCACCTTCGTGCATCTAGGCCCGGACTGCTGCTTAAGAACACGCTCGGAGTGCAGGTCAGCTTGTTCTTGGCATCACTCGGACGTGTGCATTTTTCCTTCGGCGAGGGCCATCGAGAAGCATCCTTGATCATTTGGCAAAAAAACACGCACGAAACCGAAAAAAGCACAGGAAATGGACGTCCGAGGAAAAAAGGGCAGGGAATGCACCGATGGCACGAAACCTAATACATAAATGCACCTACGCATACATACATACATACATACATACATACATACATACATACATACATACATACATACATAAATACATACATACATACATACATACATACATACATACATACATACATTCATACATACATACATACATACGTACGTACGTACGTACGTACGTACAGACATACATACATACATTCATTCATTCATACATACATACATGCATACACACATACAAGCATACATGCATACATGCATGCATGCATACTGACACACATACGTGTATACGTGCATATATGCATGCACGCGCGCATGGCATACACGCATGCATATAGACGTCCTTGCATACGTAAAAAAAATCGCGCATGCGTACATGCGTGCATGCATACACGTACACACAGACATACATACATACATACATACATACATACATACATAAATACATACATGCATACATACATACATACATACATATACATACACATACACATACACATACACACATACACACATACACACATACATACATACATACATACATACATACATACATACATACATACATACATACATACATACATACATATATACATGACTGCCTGCCTACATACATACATACATGCATACATACATACATGCATACACACATGCAACGGTACACATGTCTATATATATGTATATATGTACATACATACATACATACATACATACATACACCCATACATAAGTACACTCATACATACATGCATACAGACACATACACATGCGTACATTCATACATTCATGCATACATGCATACATACACACATGCATGCACAATGCATGCATGCATGAATGCATACATGCATTAATGCAACTGGCCATTAATAAAGTCATCCATCCATCCATGCATGCATTGACACATACATATATATATATATATATATATATATATATATATATATATATATATGCATACATACATGCATACATCAGTGCCTGCATGCAGACAGACAGACAGACAGACAGACAGACAGACAGACAGACAGACAGACAGACAGACACACACACACATATGTATGTGGGGAGGGGGTCCTGGACAGGGGAAGTCCCCACTTTGCCGAGTGGCTGTGCCCCCCCCCCCCTCCGGAGGCACCAGGACGCTCGCAAGATTGCTTAAAATGATTATTGGTCGCCTTTAGGACAGCCCAAGAGAGCTCCGAGACGGCCCGGGAGCGCTCCAAGACGGCTTTCGATGGCTCCAAGATGGGCCAATTACCCTGCGACGTCCCCAACCCTTTCTATACATGTGGTGGCTACAGTCCGGACCACTCAATGCTGACGGGCATGCTGAAAAGCCCGCAGTGCGGAAGAAGCACCCATCAGCGAATTCAGAAGAGCGCAGCAAGAAGCAGCGGCAACGCGTAAGACGTACCTCTGCTGGGCCTCCCAGGAGCCCACGAAAGTGGCGACAGTTGCGCAGATCGCAGCCCCCCAGGGCACCGCGAGGTGTCGAGGTGATCCGCGTGGGACCCACCTCCGCTGGGCCTCCCAGAAGCCCACGAAAGTGGCAACAGTTGCGCAGATCGCAGCCCCCAGGCACCGCGAGGTCTCGAGGTGATCTGCGTGGGACCCACCTCCGCTGGGCCTCCCAGGAGCCCACGAAAGTGGCGACAGTTGCGCAGATCGCAGCCCCCAGGGCACCGCGAGGTCTCGAGGTGATCTGCGTGGGACCCACCTCCGCTGGGCCTCCCAGGAGCCCACGAAAGTGGCGACAGTTGCGCAGATCGCAGCCCCCAGGGCACCGCGAGGTCTCGAGGTGATCCGCGTGGGACCCACCTCCGCTGGGCCTCCCTGGAGCCCACGAAAGTGGCGACAGTTGCGCAGATCGCAGCCCCCAGGGCACCGCGAGGTCTCGAGGTAATCAGCGTGGGACCCACCTCCGCTGGGCCTCCCAGGAGCCCACGAAAGTGGCGACAGTTGCGCAGATCGCAGCCCCCAGGGCACCGCGAGGTCTCGACGTGATCCGCGTGGGACCCACCTCCGCTGGGCCTCTCAGGAGCTCACGAAAGTGGCGACAGTTGCGCAGATCGCAGCCCCCAGTGCACCGCGAGGTCTCGAGGTGATCCGCGTGGGACCCCACCTCCGCTGGGCCTCCCAGGAGCCCACGAAAGTGGCGACAGCTGCGCAGATCGCAGCCCCCAGGGCACCGCGAGATCTCGAGGTGATCCGCGTGGGACCCACCTCCGCTGAGCCTAAGTGGCGACACTTGCGCAGATCGCAGCCCCCAGGGCACCGCGAGGTCTCGAGGTGATCCGCGTGGGACCCACCTCCGCTGGGCCTCCCAGGAGCCCACGAAAGTGGCGACAGTTGCGCAGATCGCAGCCCGACGGCACGAGAGAAGAGGAGAGGGGAACACAGGAAACAGGAGAGGAGGAGGGAGGGAGGGGGGAGGAGGAGAAGGACGGGGCGACCACACTGCTCGATTCAAAACGAGTACCAACCATAGGAGGGTTGGGAAAAAGCTTCCAAAGTGCCCCAAGAGGCCTCCAAGAGCGCCCCTAGGAGGGGCCAAAGAGGCAAAATTAATTGATTTGGTTGGTGGTTTTTCAAAGTTTTTTGAGTTCTCCCCAGTTCGGCTTCCCGACGCTCAAAGAAGGCCCAAGGGGCCCGAATGATTACCCAAAGACGGGCCAAGAGGCCCCCAAGAGAGCGCCGAGGCAGCCCAGGAGGGCCCCAAGACGGCCCAAAAGGCTTCCAAGACAGCCCAAAAGGGCCCCAAGAACACCTTAGGAGGGGCCCCAGACGGGGAACAAGAATTGAATTTCGAGCCCCATCCACGAATTCGGCGGTAGGGCCTCCAGAGGCACAACTATGAACAAGAGTCCCCTGAGCTAGACACCGCGAGTCGTCACAGTCGTTCGTTCCGGCACCACCATCACTGTTGTCATTACTCCAGGATCAAGTTGCCGCTTGCGAAGCACACCCCACGCGTATCACAAGCCAGAGCACACATGTTTGAATTTCCCAATTTGCACCAAAACCGTGGCCCGACCCATGGACGGTGGTCGGCGGACGGTGTCCCATCATTGCTCCCCGTGCTTGTCGTTCGCCCTACGTGCGCACCCTGATTGCACAAACGATAGCGCCCCATTCGCCAAGAAGTTCAGTCCGCACGGCCTGTGTGCAGTCCACATGAAGGACCCTGCTCACTGACAAACACTGGAGCGGGCCATGTGCAGGAGCAACCGAACCGCTGCACACTGTCGTCAACTCGCCTTCCAGCGCAGAAAAGGATTCTGTTATGCCTGCACGAGTGGCCATTTTACCATCTGTGAATGCACGG